CAACGCGTTGGGTGAAGGTGGTAGTTCAGCCTTAGCAGAAGACCTTGGTTCAAAAAAAATGATTTATATAAAAATACCTATGCTGTGGCTATTAGAAAATATATTTTAGGCAACGATGAGTATACGCGATTACAACCGTAATAAACGTTGGGGATGAGACTGCTCGCGTCCGTAAGAAATACTTAAAATCTGACTCCCTACATGTGTCCCCCGGGTAGTGGTAAACAGATTCCGGTGGTAGGATACAAGCACTGGCATTTCGGTTACCACCCACCAATGTGCCGCCGAATGACGTTGTCGTGTTCCGGCATGATGCCTGGTGAAGCCATATGGAAAATGGCTTTGAACAGTAGCGTTGAGTGTGGGAACCGGGTGCGGAGCGTCAGTTGTTGCCGTTTCGGGTGTTTGATTGTGGAGGGTAGCGGGATCCGAAGCACTGTGTTTCGCTGGCCGACCACAGGTAGTTGGTGGCGCAATTAGTGAAAGGCTGCCCCCTCAACTAGCGAAAAATACCAGGGTGGCTCTATCGTATTGGTTAGCCTCGCCGGGTCGTGAGAGGACCCGATGGCGATCTCCTGGGGAGGGGGTGGGGGAGGGGTTCGGACGTTCCCGCAGTCTCCAGATTAAGTTTCCATGGGTGCATTAATTCTGGCAGTATCGTTTGGTTGCCAATACAACGCCTCGTTCAATTGTCACTCTCCATCCTTATTCACTCTTAACTCTTATGTATCTCAATAATAAAAGTATGTTTAAAATTAGGTTGCACTTTCTCTCATTAAAATTGCACCCCTTTAATAATCGAGGATTGCACTCCATCACCATCTTGAAACTGAGAAGCCGCACCTACTTTTCTTGACGAAGATAAAAATTAGATGTCCATTGAATGCGGCGTACCTTCACTATCCTGGATTCTCCCTGGAGCACAAATTCCATCTAAGTGCCGGAGTTCGGAGTACGTCTGCAATGTCATCTGCTACCAGCGTCTCTGTCACCTTGAAGACCTCACTTTTTCGACAATCTGGGTGATGGTAGATACAGGTATTGATAAAATCATTTACGCCTGTGTCTATTGATCGCAAAGCGGTGACCAGGAGACAACTCGATTGTTTGATCAGCTTAGTCAGGCTGTTGATGTGGCCCTAAATCGGTATCCTACTGCACAGCTAGTCTTTCTGGGGCACATTAACGCCTGTCACCAAAACTGGCTTTTCCCATACCAGAAGACTGACCATGCTGGAAGAGAAGTGTGGAATTTTGTCTTGTCTCTAGGTCTGTCCCAGCTGGTAAAGGAAGCTACTAGGGTACTCAATGTAGACGGTCACACAGCCAATTGCTTGGACCTTTTGCTGAATACCGAACCAGACACATTTGTGTACATCTGACTACCGTCTGGTGAAATCTGTATCGTCATATTCTCCACCTGATCACGAGTCCCAAGGTGTTCGATGAATCTGTCTGGTCAAAAGGTCTGTTTCTCTTCGGCGGATCCGTCGAGCTGCGCGGATGCGATAACCGATGTATTACGTCAAGCTATGGAGTATTTCATCCCATTTTTTGACGCTCTCACTGGTAGCAAAGCTAATAGCGGCGCTGACAGCCCATGTGATGGCTTCAGCCAGGAGGGCTACGTCAGTTTGACCTCCCGCCGGTGACTGATGTGTTTCTTCATGCTTTTCCGGCCTTGGTTCTTCTATGGGATGGTGAGGTTCGTTGGTGATTGCTAACACCGGACGATTCATTTGATTCTCCAACCAGTTGTCCACTCTTGCATTTACTTCTGATTTCGAGTAGAGGGAGGCGTCATCTTCTTCTTCCTCCTCTTCTGAGTCTTCCCTTTCCAAGGCAGCTGGGCGTGCTGCGGTCAATTTCACTTGAAGGCATAGCAAATCTTCCTTCACCTTTGCAAGCTTGAGTTGCTTCGTTCTACTGCGCGTAGATCCCCCTTCTCCTCCCTTCTTGCTGGGCGGGCGGTTTTCTTGTAGTCCGGTTTGCTTCGATGGATCGGTGGTGCTTCCTATGGCTCGCTTTGCTGTAGAGGTTTCCGTTTCTTGGCGAGTTGCTCTGGTGACAGTAGTGGGCGGCTTCATCAGTTGTTTGGCCTTCGCATCCGCAGTTAGCGTCGTTGCCGCGGATGATGTTACGGAAGGAGCGACGGCGCTGGCGGGGTGCGTGGCGAGGGGGGGCGGTTGTGGCTGAGGCGGAGGCGGAGGTGGCGGCGGACCAAGTAGTTTTTGCGGTGTTAGAAGTCACGGTGGATGGATCAATTGCCGCGGAGATGTCTGTATGTTCCGGAGTCTCCGTGGCGGTCGTCCCTGTAGCTGTCGATTCCGTACTGGCTTCCGCACTGGTGGTACCGGTCGCCGAGGTGGTAGTCTCGGACGACGACGGCTTGCTACTCCTTCCCTCGGAGCGCGTAACGGCCATGCTGTCAGCTGATTTTTCTTCGAATAACTTGAATCTTAAAAACGCTTTTCTATTTTTCGAGAAGTCATTCATTGTAGCACTATTTTCGAAGTGTTCAGGTAATTATTTCCCACAATATCCGGCTCGAAGGACCATTAAATGTGCCCTAGGCACATTTGTGTGCTAGGTTGTTGGGGAATAAACCCACTGAGATCTTCTTTCTTGTATATTTGCTGCCGACTGTGTCGAACGACGAAAATCGCACCTCTTTTATACGACCTCCGCTGGCTCAACAAATACAGTATAAGCAACGGGGGAATAGTACCGACCAATCAGAGCAAGGCGCGAGAGAGCAAGTCACGATGCTATGTAACCGCCTTACTGGGTCGCGTAACTACATTATAAATTATAAATTCTAATATCTAATACTAATTTAATAATCTAATACTACATTATAAATTCAGTACATAACTTAAAACTTATTCTATTATACATTTATAAAATAAAACTCTAAACTATAACGATTATTCCACTAAACCATAATATGAAACGCTTATGTCTTATTTATGTATTGGCCTATCAGTGTCTATATATCACTATTTTTCACTTGTCCCGCACTATTATTCATAGGATTAGTATGTAATATCGTAATAAATAAAATAAATAAAAAATAAAAATTCATTTATTTCTCAATAATACTATTTCACTGATTAGTTGTGAAACAACCCCAGAGAGCAATGTAGTTACTCATGTTGGGGTGTTTCACTCTTACCTTGGTGTTTAACTCTTATATTGTACTATGCCACTATACTACGCGAAAATACAATAATTTTATCTTCAGGTCGACCGAATTGTATTATTGGTGGTCCTTTTACTTTTTAATATTTACCCTCTAATATCGAGAATTTCTGAATGTTCGGCAACACCAAATCAGACAACGACAGGGTAGGCAGGATTTCTTCGTGTTATGTTTTACTACCCCGGTCGTACTGAAAGAGACGATATCATGCTCATAGCAGTATTTTTGAATTTGCTATTAACATGATATCGTAATGCATTTTTATTTCAATTCAAAACAAAAACGCAAAAATTTTAAACGTATAGATACTCTAGACGCGTGACGCAAAAACTCTGGCGCATGGGAAAAAACATGAAACGTCAAACGTGGTATAATTTTTGAAAAATAGTAAGTATAATTTTATTTTCGATATACAATATTTTTAAGAATCTAAATCCAACCTGGCGTAAATTAAAGTCGCATTGGCCCTAAACTGTTATATTTTAGAGCCAACGCAATTGTGCTATTTAGTTGCACGGTTGGCCCGGTCCTTAGGCTGGTAATATATAAGTGAATGGGTACCACAGTAAAGCAATTGAAGTGTTGCTGTTGCAACTCTCTAGATGCGAAATGCAAATAAAAAAAGAATCAAACAATTATTCCAATTTCTCCTTAGCCGTATGTGCCAGGGAGGTATCAGGTTTTACCAGCGCATGGAGTGTAGACCGGCAGAAGGCTGTCTTGACCGCCTTGGTGAGACACGAAAAAGTCTCCTGCCAGAGTGTCGATGTGATTACTGCAGTCGAAACTGGCTATTCGTAATCCATTTTTTACAGAATTTGACGGCTTAGCTCTCTTCCTTTGGCTAACATCCGGAGATTTGCGGTCTCGAGCATAAGGATAAGTACACCATTTCTGCTTTTCAGCATATACCCGTTTGGTATCGACCTATGAACGGGCTTTACTCGATCTATGGGTAGTTACGTCGGCAAAGGAGATGAAAACCTCAATCGCTTGAAGTATCACATTATTATGTTGTTTCACAACAATATTTTTTGAAACAACATAATAATTATGGTGTTGCACAAACTATTAACTATAATATAATAAGTTATTAACTAATTTTTTAACATGATAGCGCCTTAATACGGCTAAGTATAATGTTTCAGCATGAATGAATCTGCTTGTTAGGTAAAGAACAACGCTCAGAATCCCAGCGTAAAAAGTACCTAGCATAATGCTGCTGTGTTTTTTATAGTAAATGAGACCGTAGGAACTTATTTACTGGTAACAGGCACTCTTAGTCCTCAGAGATGACAACGTACCTACACTTTGATTTTCATCAAGGATATAATATATTAATGTGTATGTGGCACAGGATCCACTTACTGTTATTAGCTGGTCACCCTAACACTTTAAAAAAAGCAAAAAAAAAACTAAGCAATAAACAGCTGTCATATCTGTCAATTGTCAAATAAAAACAAAAAGGTTTTGACAAATTGACAATTACCAAATTGACAAGTAAATGAAAACAAGGTAAAACCCTATTTACCTAATTATAAGTCCCAATAAAACCGAAATTTTAATAAAAAAATAATAATATATCCAATGTTAATGTCAGACGTCTATTTTAAGAACAAAAATTTTATCAAACCTATATTTCTTTGTTACGAAAAAAAGGTTATAGTATTATGACTCAAGGTGGTTCCGCTTTGAGATGATATGAGGTTTTCAACTTCTTACCTTTGAGCTACCTGCCATATATGGGTTGAGAAAGGTTTTATATTGTATTTCGATCAGTTAATATTTGTATTCCAAGATGAGTGATCGCTACGGTCAAAGTGGCTCTGAATCCCAATTGGGAGACAAAGGGGATAAGAATACGAGGAATCCATCACAACCTTTGTCTACTGGATCTAGATCAAGGTTTGTCTAATATAGTTTATTTTTCGTAGTTAAGTAAAATATATGCTTTCTCTCAATAACAATATCTGTGTATTAATTTGTGTTTAGAAACAATAACCAATGCAAGCATATGATTCTACTAAGTATAAGTGTAACTTAAAAATATCATTTTGTTTATTTTGTAATAATTTAACAAATTTCAGTGGAAATAGTTATTATGCCAGTGAACCTATTCAGTTTCGGGTAAGGGGGTCCACAATAACTGGTGCATCACCTCCTAAGTTTGTAACGCTTGAGGATATAATGAAAGCAGCTCATGGCATGCAGAATATGGCATTAGCCCATGAGATAGCTGTTGATCAAGATTTTAAGTTGGAACCTTTTGAACCACCAGACAACAGGTATTTAAAAATAATACATTTCTAAAATAAAATTCAATACTTTTATATTTAGTTTTAAATATGTAAAAACAATATTTATATCTCTTATAAAATCTCTAGCATTAGTTCCATTAAAAAATTTAAATATATGTAAACTAATTTACCTAGTTGTAACAATACCGTGTAACATTCTTAATGGCAGTAAGCATTAATTATTATTAAACTGTGTTTAGGAAGAAACATAATACACAACTTTAAAAAAAATCAAATTAAAACATATCTTTTTGTAATAAACCCAGTTTTTGTGATAATGATTTACTTAAAATACTCAAATTAGAACTCCCTTTGTTTGGTACAAATTTTATTGAAAAACAAACTATCACAGGAATGCATCAATGATGGTAATGCTTATTTTATTTGCATACTAGTAAGTAGAATTGCTTAGGAGTTTGTCTGCTATACTGTACTATTGTATTCAGGTTTGTAGGATACAGGCCAATATAATGAAATATATAATACAAATGTATCAAGCTTTAAGTTGGAAGTAAATTATAGGTTTCCTTAGGTTAAAGATAGACAATTGTTAGTTTAGTAAGACTGTAATGCAAAAAATACTCTTAAAATTTAAGGTGAATGATATTGAGTTTATTATGAATTATGAGCAAGAAAGCCACTATGCATATTTCATCAATATATACATAGTTATTCTTATTTCCTTTCATTTTAGTTTGGTAAAATTCATCAACGACACAATAAATGAAAATTTAAACCTGGTATGATGCTATGATTCATATGTACACTTTTAGAATAAAACATGTTTCATTTTTTCTAGTTATCAAAAGTTAGTCAAAGAAACTATGCACAAAGCCTACTTCGATATACTAAGGGAACAGCTGAACTCTGATCCCCCTGAATACAAACAAGCTCTTATTTTACTAGAGGATGTGAAACAGGTATGAAATAAACTATGACTCACTGTAGCAAACAGCAAAAGGGTATAATCATGACATCAGCATGCTTTGTTAACTGTTAAGAGGTTTTACTTTATATGTATCAGTATTACATAGAATATTCTGCTACATACTCATCTTGAAATATTATTATAAGGAAACTAGCTGGCCAGGTTGACTTTATTCTGCACTTTCCAACGACCCTTTGTCCTTTAAAAAATCTTTAAATATTCAATAACAAATATTGAAAGGCATTTATCGGGATAAAAACTATCCTATCTCTTCAAGTTATTATTTAAGTCATTAAAATCAGTTGAGTGGTTACAGAATTCATCGCAGACAAGTGTGCAGTTTGGTCCAACTTGTGAGATAGGATACTTTTTATGCCAATAAGTGACCTTCAATATTTTTTATTGCGAATTTAAGGATTTTTTATAGGAAGGGTCGTCGGAAAGGGCAGAACAATGTCTGCCTGGCCAGCTAGTTTTTATATATAAAGATAATACTAATATTCAAAGAAGTTATCTTAGCTTAATTATAATATTGATTATACAAAAATTGAATACATTAAAACTTAACATGTGATTGATGCTTTTCTAACAGCGCAATGATGTTCACCTAGCATTTCTTTCAATTCTTTCAATGGGGAAATGTATTCACAGATCTGCCTAGAGGGTTATATCACCCTTGCCCGGATTAAACCCCTACCTCCACCACATAGAGACACACATCCAGAGCCCCCCAGTGCTCGAATCCTTTACCTCAACTGTAGCTGCAATCCTCCCCCTCATATTTCCTCAAAGAGGGGTTTTAGTATAGTTGGCACGCTTGGCAGGAGGGTTGGCAACCGCAGTTTCATTTATTATTTTCAGTTGTTATCAGGAAGATTCTTTTGCCCATCTCTGGTTTTAGTTCCCCCTCCGGTTTTCTCTTGATAAAGTGGAAATAGAAAATTCAAGGTGGATGGAATGACGTGACAGAAAGGATGTAGTCTATGGCTCCACTGCCGAAAACGTTTCGGCCGCAAAGGACAGAAAGAGAGAGAGCAGCGCACTCTCCTTCTATTACAGTCTGAAATGGGCTCAACAAGACCACTCAACGCAGCTTCCTCAGGCCAGCCCTTGGCTTCGCGCCATCCATGTGGATTTTCCTTTGTTCACCTTGAGTGACCAAGCCACGCCTACTGAAGCCCTCCGCCACAACAAATGGGAATTCCTTTGGGGGATGTTCTTCTTGCCTATTTTAACTTCATTTTTTAAATAACAAAGCTACAATATTGTTCATAATCATATTTTATACAACATTGTTCAAAAACTGCTCATGAGATAACAGTGCTTGATATACTAACACAAAGGAAGTTGTAGTAACCTACACATGTCTCATTAAGTTTTTAAGAACATGATGTAAACAACACAACAAACTAAAAATGTCTTCATTGATATTTAGCATTTCATATATTACCCAAATATTAATCACAGTGTTTCCCTTGACTTTGGATAACATGAGAAATCAAAGTTCAAAGTTGCAATTTAATTTTAATGAACACCTGAAATCAAAATCACATTATAATCTGTATGCTAAGATAGTGTCGTACACCCGGAGGTACACTTATTATTCCGCTTTTATGTTGATTTTGTACAATCCTTAATGCTAGTAGAAAACTAAAAATGATTGGGAATAACATATCTCGACACTATATTATGTGTCTTAACATTGATTTCATTCATTTTTATAGTTTTATATTTGTATGAGTAATTGTAAATAATGATTCTTACACCACCGACTATCTTCTACCCCATATTGTACCGTGGATGTCGTACAAGACGACAGAGGGAAACAAATCAGGAAATGGGCAGCAGTGTCTACCTAATAACATCTAGAAAATAAAAACTGCAGTTACCAACAAGCGCCTGTTAAGCATGGCACCTATGGCAAGTAACCCCCTTGTGAATCAAGCTATGGGGAAGTCTATGTTAAGCAGTGAACTTTGCAAAGGTTGTAATGATGATGATGATTGTAAAAAGTCATCTTGGACCCCACTGACCTGTGTGATTTGTGGTAGATTCTATAAAAATATATTTCAAAGAAATATATTAAAATATATTTCAGGGATTGTTTTCTATTCTTCTTCCACGACACACACGCATCAAAGAAATGATAGAAGAAGTTCTGGATGGTGACTTCATCAAACAACAAGCCGAAAACAATAGCCTCGATTTTGATAAATATGCCAAGTTTGTTATTGATTTAATGGCAAAGCTGGCAGCACCAGCTAGAGATGAAATGATACAAAATATCACAACGCTGACGGACACCGTAAGTTATTTATACTTAATTAATTTTGCAATTTTATATTTTATTATTATTAAGATAAGATCAAGCTTATTAATAAAAAAATTAAAAACTTGTCTTTGAAAGTCTTATGCATGCATGAACTAGATATTGCTTTTATAACTCACAGAATTCATATAGGAAACCGAAACAATAAAATCGATGATATACCTCTGGAAGAAGTTAAAGTACAGAAAGATTTAGGTGTGCATATAAGTAACGATCTAAAATGGGAACATCACATTACAGTGATAATTAAAAAAGCAAATAGTTTTATTTACCTTATTAGAAAAGCCTTCGAGCATCTAACACCAGAAATGATGCTAAAAATACATAAGACATACATTCGACCTATTTTGGAATATGCATTCCAAATCTAGAGCCCCTATTTCAAAAAGGATATTGAGTTACTGGAGAAGGTTCAACGCAGATTTACAAATGTTCCCAGAGCATTGAAAAACATACCATATGAGAAAAGGCTAAATAGACTTAAACTAACAACTCTGAAAGATCGACAGAGAACGAGGAGACTTGATCGAAACTTATAAAATTATACATGTCCATGTATAATTTTATAGGATCTAGAAAATTTTGACAAAGATTTATTCCAATACTCAAAAACACACATCTAAGAGGACATCACTTCAAATTAACCAAAGAAAATTGTACGTGGTAGAGCCATGCTGCAGCTATATTTCGGGTAAAGTTGTAGGACGAATGGGTCGGCTCGATCGGGGAAGGACCACGCTCTCATAGAATACCAGCGTAAAATAGCAGCTTAATGCTGCTGTGTTTCGTATGGTGAGTGTAGAGAACCGGAGACCCTTTTTAATGGAAAGGAGGCAATCCATCTTAGTCCTCATGGGTGACAACGCATCTGCATTTTGATTCGCAAACGAGGATAAATGTAGATGTCTATGGGCCACAGCAACCACTTACCATCAGGTGGACTGTGTGCTCGTTTCTCACCCGATCTTATAAAAAAAAAACCAAAGCCATGTCGAATAATAACCCACACAAGCACTTTTTTAGCCAAAGAGTGGTTGAAACATGGAATAAGCTGCCATCAGAAGTGATATCTGCACAAACTGTTAACCACTTCAAGAACAGATTAGATAAACAACTAAAATAGAATAATCACACATTCGAAAATAGGATACGGCCTTATATCAGTTGTTGCAACTGCTGGCCTGTTAAATAATAATAAGAAGAATCAAATTAGGTTTTTTTTTAAATTAATGTGGCATTATTCAGGGCATGTAATTATTGAACTCAAAAGGTTGTGGGTTCGAATCCGCCATTCAACTACTGTCATGAATCTAACAAGCATTTTAAGATTACCAGGAATGGTTAAAAAAAATTGTGTGAAAATACGTATGTGTCAATTGAAATTGGAATACGAATTGGAAATATATTTACTAGGTGATAGGACTCATTTTATGACCTTTTTTTATTATTTTAATTTAATAATAACTATTTATTAATGACATAATAGTTCAGTCTATTGTTTTTTTTATAGGATAGGGTGACAAACGAGCACACAGTTCACCTGATTGTAAGTGGTTGCTGTGGCCCATAGACATCTATGTACATCTATCCACATTTGCGAATTAAAATGCAGATGCGTCGTCACCCGTGAGGACTAAGATGGAACGCCTCGTGGCTAGTAAAAAGGGTCTCCGGTTCTCCACACTCACCATACGAAACACAGCAGCATTAAGTTGCTATTTCACGCTGGTATTCTGTGAGAGCGTGGTCCCTCCCCAGTCGCGCAGACCCATTCGAGCTACAACTATAATATTAATATAGCTGCAGCATGGCTCTACCACTATGAAATTTATGTAATAAATTCCGTCAAAACATATTCCAATTGTACTACCCCTTTCCGGATAATAATTCTCAATTCATTATCTGGAAAGGGGCCGTACAAGAAACCGAATGCTTCCTTTAACATGGGATAAGATTATTCATCCTGTCGAATTCGTAATTTTGAACAATTATTGATGTCGACCTTCGACGTATAAAACACCTCTGCACTTAAAAAGTCTTTCCTTTATAAAATTATAATGTCAGAGATGTTTACAATTCTCTTACAAAGTGACGAAACAAGACTAACACGCCCATCATATAAAGGCACTCCATACATTACAGCCTATAATAGCTGAACATAGCTGACAGCTCCGTGGCGTAGTGGCCTAGCAATGAGTTGCAGCGGTACGGGCGCGGGTTCGAATCCCACACGAAACAAGTATATTCGTATGAGGATATTTGATATAATTTTCACGCTTAGCAGGCAGCTGACAACCCCTGTTATTTCATTTTTATTTATTATTAACGACAGGAAAACACTGCTGTCCATATCCTGGTTTGTTTCGCTCTGTGATGATATGGTGTAGTTGATATTGTTTCACCGCGACTACACAGTCAGTGTCAAAGGACACTTTATTTTGCTACCAACAATATTTTGCTAACCAATTTAAGTTGTTTAAAAAAATAAATTTACAGGTGGATATTTTTCGAGCAATCCTAGAGACACTCGAAGTGTTAAAACTTGATTTGGCTAACACGTTAATAGCGATGATACGGCCCCACGTACAGAAGGAAAGTGTACAGTATGAGAAAGCAAAATTTGATGAGCTGCTTAAAGTGGCCGAAGGTAAAGAAAAATTTATTTTTTAAATAAAAATTTTCTCTAAAGTATAGAGTATCAGTTTCTATTTTTACGTGAAGGCGCTCCAGTGTGTAACGGCTGCAGAAGGAATTGGTCAGCTCCACTAGTGAAGGACACAGCTTGCACAGAACCAGAGCGTGAAAATGAATGCTGCTGCCATAAGATATTTACGGCGACACGGCCCGACTTAAATTTTTATTTATAATATTCTCAATTAAATTCATTAATTGTTTCTTCTTAAATAGTGGATCAATAATAACCTATCCATGCTCCCTAATATTATATGGAAATCTAAGATTTATGTTAGTGAATAAAAGAGATAATTGCATTTCAATTGTTTTCCTTTAACAGATGGTCTACAGTACACTAGAGAATGGTTACAGAGACACATAGACAAGACAGGTCTAAGCATACCGGTAACAGATCCTAATATTATTAGGAACGTAACAGCACAAACATTGGCCAAAGCCTATTTGGAGCTGTTAGAGTGGGACGGCACTAAGAATTATCCAGAGGTACGTATTTTTACGACTGCAGAAGTTAATATACATAGGTATTTTGGTAAAAAAACTAGAATCTTACTAGGTGGACTTCTTTTCTGCCTATGTAAGAAGTTAGCTGCAGGGACCCTAAACGGGTTCCCTCTTTGTCGTGGCGTGGGATCTTATTAGCCGTGGCTTGGTCATTTACGCTGAACAAAGTGACGTATCGCCATACCAACACTCCTATTCCTCCGCGACTTCACCTCGGCTGCAGCGGTAGGGGGAGAGGACACCCCTCTCACTGCAGATCACCGACACACATCCGAAGGGGGCTCGCCAAGCCCACTCCTCCTCCTCCTCTTTGTTAACCGCGGGTAACCAAGCCACGGCTACTAAGCCCCCCCCCCCCCCCCCGCCACGACATGGCGGGAACTCGTTCGGGGGGGGGGGATTATCTCTTTACCTACTGTCTACTCAAACTACTTAGTCATCCATTTTTATGGATTTTTGTTCATTCAAATTTTTTTATGGACAGCTATTTAAAAACTTAAAAGTCCTAGAATATTTATAAAAAAATAACTTTTTTATAGAATAAGGCTGACAAGTGAGCACACAGTCCACGATGGTAAGTGGTTGCTGTGGTCCATAGACATCTACATCTATCCTCGTTTTCAAATAGAATGCAGATGCGTTGTCACCTGTGAGGACTAAGATAGAATGCCTCGTTTCCAGTAAAAAAGAGTCTCCGGTTCTCTACACTCACCGTATAAAACACAGCAACATTAAGCTGCTGTTTTACGCTGGTATTCTGTGAGATATAACTTAAAAATAAAGTAATAGTGTTTGTTTGAATTCATCTTTTACTTTTAATTTGAAAGTTATTTTTTTTTACTCTTTAGAGTAAACTAAGGACTGAAACTAAAGAATATCACAATGTTTTTGCATTAAAAGTCTAATTTTTGTTTGATGATATTTCTTGTTACGAAATGTTTTAATTTTGTTTTAGCAATTTCGAAACAAAAAATCGGACACATGTAGCTAAGTGAACATTTGAACTTGATTGAGATTTTACTATGATTTTCTCTATTTCTAATCTAGAATATCTCTTCCACAGACAATTGCACTTGATGCGTCACGCTTCTCCGAACTGGGCACTCAGGTGTACAGACTTATATGCATCGCGTCCATTATACTGGTCAGTCCTTCGTGTGGGCATGATCCTTCAGCACCCTCACAGAAGCAGCAACTCAAAGACAAAATCGACATTATTCTTGGCAATACTTCCAATGACATGTAGGTACATATAAGATTTTCTTAGGTGTTTGTCTTGGCAGGTACCACTCTCTTGCCTGTATCTGCCGCTAAGCAGTAGTTAATCACTGTTAAGTTCCAGTTGGAAAGGTTAGAGAGTCATTACAGTTAAAGCATCAGTTCAGTGCATCTTTGGCCTTATTGGTTGAAGTTGACTGCAAGTGTCCATGGCCTACAATGGCCACTTACCATCAGGTTCGTCTTTTACGCTAACATAATATATTATAAATACCCTTACAAATAAAGCACTACTACAAGTTTAAATTAACATATTTACTGTGTATCATCTGTATGCCGATGACTTGCAATTGCACACACAAGTGAGTATTGACAATATTTCTACAGCGGTGGACATAATTAACAGGGACCTTGAGTACATTAAGACCTGGTCTGACAGGTTTGGTCTAATTGTCAACCCTTCGAAGTGTCAGGCCATAATAATTGGTAGCCGTCGAATGATCCAGAGAATTGAAAACAGTAGCTCTACCTCCTATCTTTTTTAATAGTACTGAGATCCAACTGTGTTCTACTGTGAAGGATCTAAGTTTATTAATTGATTTGACCTTGAGTTGGAAAGACCAAGCAACGACCGTTAGCCAGAAAGTCACCAGTACCCTGCATTCTCTATCGCCTAAAAAATTTTCTACCATCTGCAATTAAAACAATGCTTATGCAAAGTTTAATTTTTCCCCTAATCGACTATGGCGATGTGTGTTATTTCGACCTGAATGCAGATCTTCTCAACAAATATGACCGTCTTCTGAATAACTGCATTTAATTCATTTTCAATCTTTGAAAGTATGACCATGTATCCACGTATCGACCTCAATTAAAATGGTTACCTATTCGTCAACGCCGTAGTTTGCGTGCACTCACCACCCTTTATTCTATCCTGATGTCTCCAACTTCCCCTTCCTACTTATCTCTTTAGTTTCAGTTGCTTAGCACTAGTCATGAGAGAAACCTCCGCTCTACGAACAACCTTCTTCTCCTATGTCCCTCCCATAGCTCTGGACTTGTTCATTCTTCTTTCCACATTCAATCTATTCTCCTTTGGAACACACTACCTCTCGAAATCAGGACGGCTAGCAATCGTTTCAAGATGAAGGTTCGGGAACACTTACTTAATAAATTAGCAGAATCATCACAGTTACAGATACATCTGACATTATAATATGTACTTAACTATTATACATACATACATATATATATATATATATATATATATATATATATATATATATATATATATATATCCTTACCAAACTATGGCAAATATACTCCTTATGCGGCAATCTATGGCGAGGCCTATGTTCATGGATGGATGTATGAAAACCTAAGTTTAGCCGGCTAATCTAAAGTCTGTTATGTATGTACACTAATATTAACCATAACATCTATTAATTAATTTTTTAATTCTAAAACATTACAGAGAACTAAAATCGATCCTGCCATCAGTGGCCGAGGAAGTTATATTGTTTACGGAGCAACTGCTAGAAGGACTCAACCAAGACGGACTGAGTGCAGATACAAAAGAACTTATAAGGACCCAGATATTATCTGTCGGAGATCCAGAGCATAAAGTGAGGCAGATTGTCCGTAAGTACACCAAAATCCTAAAAAGGAAAAATAATATTTTTGACTTATGCTTTTGTATAGTGATTTCCTTATATTTATGCGACCACTACATGTATAATTTTTACGTTTCATTTAACGGTAGAACGCAACTGTAGGAATGATTAATTAATAAATTACTAAAAAGCACTCAGTTCACCTGATAGCACGTGAATACTGAGGTCCTACTACCTTATCATCCCTGAGGATGTAATAGAATGCCCCATTATTATTATTAATTAAATATCTTGGTAATAATCTGCCATTTCCATGGTGGTCTTTTCACTGCCTACTTTTTGAATACTTTTTTCCTTAATTCACAAAATATTAATATATCGATAAAAATTTATCGAGATTATCGATGATCGATATGTTTGGTGTTGATATATTATCGATATTTAAAATACCTCTTCCCAGAACCCATCAACGTGTGTTATTGCACAAATTACTTCGAAACTTAAAACTCGGCGACTTTTAAAACAGACAACCTTGTAATTTATCCGTTAAAAGTTGCTTATATCGTTTTCGTAACTTCCTTTCCAGGTCAAAGAATTCTCGAGTTTCTAAAAATGATCCTAGTTTGTGCGGGTGGTTCCCGTCAGATACCCGTAGGTTTGTCTGCCTTCACCCGGGAACTGACGATCGTGTCGGGAACACTGCTGCGCTACGTAATGCACAACAAAGCAGTCTTCACGGAGCATTACCTGAATATCATACAAGAGGAGCTGAGTAAGAATTAAGTTATAAATGTTTACAAATTTGAAAATTAATTTTAACATAGTTTAAATCGACATCACATTATGTGAACATTACAAAAATATACAAGTGCTAAACTAACTAACATTTAAACTATGGTTTTATATAATAATGTAATGCTAAGATTTATTTGAATTTAAGATGTTTTTAATATTATTACTCAAAATTATTAGATAATACTTAATTACTTATTAAATAATAAATTATTAGACATACTTGCAATTTTTCATGTCGAATGAGGCACCTTTGAACACTTAGAATCCTAAATTTCATGAATAATTCTATTATAGTTCCTGAGTTATTCAATTCAGAAAAGTGGCATTTTTATCACTCACTGATTAGATATTTTTGATTTCTCCTTAAACTTACTTGTTCTTGAACACTAAAACTAAATAGAAAAACTTAAGAGACAACGGGAACTATAATAATGCCTTACGAATTCCTAATTGTATTAAGCAACAGTGAAATGACACAAAAATCTAGAATTTCCTTTGGACTGGGGCAATCTTATATGTAATCTTATTTCATTTGGATAATAATTAGGAGATGGTAAAACAGTAGAATTTAAAATATTTTCAGTATTTTCTCGAATATAAATATACTAATACATTAGAAGTTTTTTGCTATAAGCCAAGAAACGAATTTCATATTTAATAAAAATGTATGGTAGGAATCAAAATAGAACAGACCTGTACGGGCAAGCCATTGTACATTCAACCTTTTTTTTTCCCTCACGTTGCGTCCTACTTTCCGGGCGCATGTTTAATTAGTAATAATTTTATTATATTAAACTTCAAGTCAGTACGTCAACAACCGTCCTACTAAACAGTAACTACTCAAGGAAAGATTTGCCACAACAACTTTGTAATTACTTTACTTTTTTAATAAACCCTTTTAACTTTGGTGGTCTGTTTCTTTTGACGTGCTCATCAACTAACTTCGATTCTACTTCTTGAAAGTGTATGGCCCTGTAAACCATACAAGACTAATAGGTATTTGTTAAAAATAATTAGTAAAAATATAATTTAAATTAGTTATTAAAAAAAATATAACTGAGAGTTTCGACCTTTATTAATATTTTATGTAAAATATAAACAAAGTTAAAATATAAAAGAAATTTGAAATTTAAAAACAAAAATATCGTGGGAAAAAAACTTACTTTTTACAATAAAATAAATTTAGCTTCGGTTTAGACAAATTTTTACCGGAATATCGATATTTTTAGACTACGAGTTTTGTCAAAAATAATACCAAAACAATGTCATGTGTTACTAAAATTACACAAAGTAACAAGAGTTTAATATAAACATCAAAATTTTGACTGGATTTAATATGTAGGTTATTGGAATATTGCATTTACAATTGCCTTAGGAGTTCCTCAGTAACTAATTTTTTATAGGATTACATTAATCAATGTTATACAAAACAATTTAAGACTAGCTGTCAAAATATATTTCAAATGTAATGTATTAAAAAGTACATTGGACAATATTTATGTGCAATAATAAATAAATTACTTTTTAAAAAAAACGTGTTTACTTATATACGCACGTAGGAAGTTATACTTCTTTAGCGTAACAAAACAAAAATATCTATGAATAACTACCTTAAATATAGTTATTAGTTCCCACGAAAACTTGAGTTACCCACTGAAGTTATCGCTTTTAGGTGTCAGTGTGCGCGCGCATCGTAACAACTTCACGGTGTTGTTTGTAGGTGACGTCGGTGTGCGCGCGCATTGTAAAAATTCACTCTCATTTTTCTCAAATGCCCCAAAAGTATAACTTCAAAATGCGAACATGAATTTTACTATCTACTGCAAATAGGGCCCATATTTATTTTTTATGCAATATTTTTAATGAACTAAGGCATGTCTTTGTATCTGAATGTAACTTTTATTTTCGAGGCACACTAATAAAATAATTGATCTAGCAATTTGTTTCATTTCCTTTTACAATGCTATGGTACCCGTAGTCGTACTCCACGGGGTACGAGTTGCGGGGGTATTTATATGAGATTATTAGTAACAATCCAGCTAACTGTCCCAGCTGGCTAGATAAATGGCTACTGCAGCGCGTGTAGTGGTTGACTCCAAAGAACTTGAAACACAGGTTAAATGTGTTATCCCCTTTGAGGACTAAAATGAATTGTCTCAAAACCGTATCACAGTCTAACTTAACTTCTGCTACTAACAATCGGTCATCGAAGGCGTCTAGGCGGGGCATAACGCGGGCTGAGCACTTCCCGAACGGCCCTTAGCCGCTCGGGAACTATCCGCTAGGGTTGTCCTGTCATGCAAATAAATTAAAATGGTTCACACTACATGTGCGGTAAAAAAAAATGTAGGTCGTCCTCATTTAAAGATAAGGAATTAGTTTCATCAGTGTCCACATACACATTAATTTGTTTAAACGTGAAATAAAATAAGATCAGTATTTTATTTTATTACTTTCCGTTCTGACAACCCTCCTGATATTTTTTATGTCAGCTTTTCCGACAATATCAAACGCGATAACTGACTGTATGTTTTTCTTAAGCTGTGACCATATTATACTCATATGAAAGGTACCGGAACTTACCACAGGGTGCGTGCTGCTTAGTAACGTAAACAGGTAAGAATATGTACTAATTTGTTTTTAATATTCCATGACTGAATTGGAATATTCCACATATTTCTTTTTCCCGCATTCTCTTCGCTAGAAAGAAAACTAAAAATGGTAGGTAGGGTCGCCAGTTGTGTGTACAAAACTATAAATATATTCATGTTTATTAGACTATCTGTATAAATAAAATGATAGAGGTTTGCAGTTGTGCGCGCATCACGGAAAAACTACTGGATAGATTTGTTTTCTAAGCTTTACTTTTTAGACTCTTATCTAAAAAAAAAATTGCGATATCTTCATTTGATATAAAGTTTTAAGAAACAACGATTTGTATAACCACTAAGTGTTCAGTTGTTTTCGTGATATATCAAGCGACGCGGACAAAGTCGCGGGTATCTGCTAGTTAGTAAAAACATGTGCTACTGCGCTCGGGAGACCTCATACCTTGAAGTAAAACCGTGTTTTGTCTTTAAAAGCCGACCTGCGCGGTTAAAGTGCATGTATGGATAATTCACATGTAGTTGATTTTTTTATATGTGAATAAGTTTTTAATTTTCTATTAATAATTTTAATACAAAGTTCAATGACAATAGTACGACAACCGATTTCAATATAAATAAAATGAGAACATCATCAATGTTTGACGGCTCCGTGGCGAAGTGGCTTAGCAATGGGTCGTTGCGCTGGGGGCCGCGGGTTCAAATCCCGCACGGTACAAGTAGTTGTATGGCCTACAAATAATTGTTCCGGGTCTGGATGATTATCCTCGTGCAATTCTTTTGTACTCATTTGTAAACTGTCTCCAGGATACAGGAGAAAATCCTAAACGTAAAGTTTTTAAAAAAAATGTAGTCGCAGTCAAATACGCATTATTAACCGGTTCATTGCGGATGGCACGCCATCGATTATTTTTGTGTGTGGCGTATGACACGCGAGTCGTGTCTTTTTAAAAATCGTTATAACTCGCTCAATTTGCGTTTTTTAAAGATTTATCCACAACAAAATATTCATTATTTTGTAAGTAGTTCATGCCTACAGCTTCGCGTCTGGATATTTTGAAAATTTGAAATTTTTAGGGGTTGATAACCTTTTTTTAACTTGTACATGGTACTCTTTTTACTTTGTGGGTTTAAATCATGTTGTGGAAAAATAGTCTAATAAGTAACAAATAATAGCACTCATTGCGATCGCTCACAAACTCAAGTTGTAAATAAATTTCTGGAAAACAAGTCTCCTGTAAAAAAAAAAAACAATGCGTTTTTTTTTTTTTTTTATAGGAGAGAGGGCAAACGAGCATGCGGCTCACCTGATGGTAAGTGACTACCGCCGCCCATGAACAACCGCAACACCAGGGGAATTGCAGATGCGTTGCCGGCCTTTTAAAAAGGAGTAGGCTCTTTTCTTGAAGGTCCCTAAGTCGTATCGGTCCGGAAAAAATCCCTGGTGGTAAACTATTCCACAAGGAAGTTGTGCGAGGAAGAAAACATCTTCTAAATCGCACAGTGGTGGACCGCCAATCATCCAGATGGTGTGGATGGTATCGGGAGTTCTGCCGCGATGTGCGTTCGTGAAATTTGGCGGCTGGGATTAATCCGAACAATTCCTCAGAGCACTCCCCATGGTAGATGCGAAAGAAAATGCAAAGAGATGCAACATCTCTTCGCAGTGCCAATGAATCGAGCCGATCGGAAAGGCCTCGGTCGTCGACGATTCGAGCCGCTCTGCGCTGGATGCGGTCAAGTGGAAGGAGCTGGCACTGGGGAGCCCCTGCCCAGAGATGGGAACAGTATTCCATGTGAGGCCGAACCTGCGCCTTGTAAAGTAGCAGGCGGTGTGCCGGCATGAAATACTGTCCCGCTCTGCTGAGCACGCCAAGCTTTTTAGAGGCCAATTTGGCCTTCTCTTCCAAGTGACCACGAAACTGCACGTCACTCGATATGTCGACTCCGAGGATACCGATACTGGCTGAGGCAAGAAGGGGAGTGCCTTGAAACTGAGGAGATACGACAAAGGGGTTCTTTTTAGCGGTAAACGCGCAAACTTGTGTCTTCTGAGGATTAAACTGGACAAGATTTAGTCGCCCCCAATCCGAGACTTTGTCCAGCAAAGACTCGACTTCAGACACAAGTTTGTTCCGGTACTCGGCGACGTTTTCCCGAGAAATATTGGCCCGGCCGGTGTATAGAGCATCACCAGTGCTGTCATCCGCATAGCAATGAATGTTACCAGTTAGCAACATATCATTGATATGCAGAAGAAACAGCGTTGGTGATAGCACACAGCCTTGTGGAACACCAGCGTTAATAGGCTTGTAGTCAGAACATGCACCGTCTACAACGACCTTGATGCTCCGATCTGCAAGAAAGCTGGTGATCCAATTGCACAATTTCTCGGGAAGCCCATAGGAAGGCAGCTTTGAAAGAAGCGCTTTGTGCCAAACCCGATCAAAGGCCTTCGCAATGTCCAGACTAACGGCCAACGCCTCCCCCTTGGACTCTACTGCCTCCGCCCATCTATGGGTCAGGTAGACCAGAAGATCACCAGCTGATCGACACCGACGAAAACCGTATTGGCGGTCACTAATCAGCTGGTGATCCTCAAGGTACCGGATGAGCTGGCAGTTAATAATGGATTCCATTATTTTGGAGAACAAGGAGGTGATCGCGATAGGCCTATAGTTGGACGGGTCTGAGCGGTCGCCTTTTTTAGGGATCGGGTGGACAAAAGCTGTCTTCCATGAATTCGGGACTACGCCTTGGGAGTAGGAGTACCGGAAAAGACGCGTTAGGACCGGTGCCAACTCCGGAGCACACGTCCTCAGCACAATTGGGGGGATTCCGTCAGGCCCACTCGACTTCTGGATGTCCAGGGAGAGAAGTGCTTTGCGAACTGAGCGCTGTGAGAATAGCACGTCCGGCATGGAGCACTCACACCGCGGGATGGTCGGCGGTATTTTCCCCCCGTCATCAAGAGTCGAGTTGGACGCAAAAAGGGAGCCTAAAAGGTCGGCTTTGTCTTTTGCGTCTTGGGCCAGTGAGTCGTCCTCCCTGTGCAGAGATGGTAGTGATGGCTTACAGAAATTCCCTTGGACAGCCTTGGCCAGAGACCAGAATGCACGGGTTCCCGAAGGAAGGCGAACTAGTTTCTCGCCAATTCTGCCTATGTGCTCTGACTTTGCCTTGGCAATAACTCTTTTGAAGGACCTGGAGGCGAAGTTATACTTCTTTTTAAGTGTGCTGGTGTTTACATCCCGAGTCACCGAAGCCGCAGCCCAGGCTTGATAACACTCCTGCTTACTGCGCAATGCAGTCTTACAGGAGCGACCAAACCAAGGCTGAGATCTGCCTCCGATGGGTACCACAGATGACGGAATAAATAGCTCCATTCCCTGTAGCACCACATCAGTGACAGAGTCAGCAACAGCACTGGGATCATCCGGCGAGAAGCAAACCCGCCCCCATGGGTAGGATGCAAAGAAAGACCGCATTCCGTCCCAATCCGCCGACCTGTAATGCCAAACACGGCGGCAACCTGCAGAACGCAACCGCGAAGGGAGCGTGAGTGGCACCACACTCCGGATCAGACAATGGTCCGAAGAGCCGAGAGGGGCATCGACGGAAACCTGATATCCGTCCGGATGAGAGGTCAGCAGAAGGTCCAACAGGGAAGGTGTATGATCCTCCACATCTGGAATCCGCGTAGGCGAAGTAACCAGTTGTGTCAGACCATATGCCAAGGCAAAGTCATAAACAGATCTCCCCGCATGATCGGTTAAACGTGAACCGAGCCATTCGGCATGGTGGGCGTTAAAATCGCCAAGGATCACGATCTCTGCGGATGGGACCTGTTGTAGCAAGGAATCTGTAGCCATTTGGACGTGGTCGATGAGTCGGTCTGTTTCGGCATTACCGCTATGGGACCTATAGAGGCACCCGTAGACGCGCGGATGGTCGTCGCTGTCTACGCGTAGCCAAAGGGTGGACAGGTCCGAACCTTCAAGACTGCCGAGGCGTCGAGAACAGATGTCCTCTCTAACATACACGCAAACTCCAGCCCGAGGCACGAAGGAGTGCTCCAATTTGTACCCCGGGTAGGAGAGATACGAAATATCAGTCGGAGAGGAAACCTGCGTCTCGGTCAAAAAGAGCAAGGCCGGCTTCGCCGTCTCAAGATGGTAGTGGACGGCGTTTAGGTTAGAGTGAAGTCCCCTGATGTTGCAGAAATCCACGGATAGCGTGGCAGGGGTCGCCTTGGTATTGTTGCTCAGCTTGCCCCGAGCAGTTTTGTTTTTGAGCGGAATTTTGCCCCCCCCCAGAATACGCGGGGCAGCCTGAGCACCCACGCTCAGGATTGGAATAACATGGTCGTGGATGCTCAGCGAGGGATTCTCCAGGGGTACTGGTACCCTCCTGGGGCAGTCTATTGTCTAATTCCGCTACCATGTTGATGGGGGGGGGGGGGGGGGGGGAATTGGGCCTCCGGCCACCTGCACTCACCAGACGAAACGCAGAAGCAGAGCCTCTACTTCACGCCGGTATTCTGTGAGGTCGTGGTACCAACCCGGCTCGAGCCGGCCCATACGTGCAACAGCAAAAAACTGCTGCAGGGCTCTACCACCGTTAATGTTTTATAGTTTAATTTAATTTGCTTAAAATGATTGAACTGCCGTCTTATTACTATCATATGGCCGACTAGACCAACGAAGTACCATGTGCTCTTGTGATATGGTATAAGGTTTATTTTTGCTTGAAACAGTTCGAAACCGTCCATGCATAAAAAAAATTAGCTAATAAATAGTCTTTTGTCAATCCGCCGCCGTATAGCGCCGGCATTTTTTCCTTTTGGAAACACTTGTTTTGCCCATCTTACTAATTATACGTTTTCAGATCGACTTTACTTTTAGATTTGCGTAACATTATATATTTTTGAACATTTGTAGATATCAAAACTAATAAACCTTTTTTTTTTTTAAATTAAGGTTCTTGATTGTTTGATATTTATAAATATTATTATTAGGTGAAAATTTAATTTAATAAAAACCAAGGTTTTCCAGAGTGATTTAGCTGTACCTACTTATATAAATGATTTTTTTATTAAATATAAAATAGTACAAAAGGTTTATAATCTCTGCATAAAAAAGTCACTCTCAATTTCAAAGAAAACAAGTAGAAAAACACGTAGTTACCCACTAAAACCAAGTATCCTTCCGTTTGTAACTAATGTTTGATGTCAACTAAACTTAATTAGGTCTAAACAAGTGAAAAAAGCATAAAAAAGAAAATTATTTTTACACATGGCTGATGGCACAATAGGCGTGTCATCAAATTCTGTGGCAATTTTCTGTGATTTCTGTGAAATATTTGTTCGCCGCCACAGCTAAAAGTTGTCGAAAATCGGTGCCACAACGAATCGTTTAAGGATAACTCTAAAAACTACAGGTCAGATCTTGATCAAATTTATATGGGACCACATGCAAAAGAACAGCTTTCAAATAAGAATAAAAAGAATCATCAAAATCGGTTCACCTAGAAAAAGGTCTAAGGTAACACATTAAAAAAACATATAGTCGAATCAAGTACCTCCTTTTTTAAGTCAGTTAAAAGTAAATAAAACACTCGGACGTAGGAAGGATGTTTTATTGAACTTATCCACATTACATACACCTAACCGCAGATTCACTTGATTCTCTCACTTTCTTTAATCAGAGCCACTGTGTTTCGAGGAAGCACTGGATGCAGACCCACTTCGAGAGCCCTAGAAAATAATACATGAATTTTAATGTATTTTTACAATTAAAGTTTTGTCAATTTTTGTTATTAGAATCGGACATTATTTTCAGAAAACCATTTTAGATAATAAAGTTAATTGGCTCCATCTGGCTAGAACTGGGTGAACTCACCCAGAACGGTTCAGCAAAGGAAGTGTGGAGGCGCTGTCGTCGCGCCACAGAAATTATGGGGAGTTTTACTATTATTTAAGTATATAAATATGAAATCGTACAAAGTTCTCAACAACAAGCTCTACCTACAAATACGAGGGCGGCACTAAAAGTTTTTAGAACTGGCCACTTGAAAACGATACAATAAAAAAATAAGTTCAAAGTTTGAAAATGGAACTCTGCCAATATTATTGTCATGTATTTTATTAATTTGTCATTTGTTTACGATTTGGCGGCAAATTGAAAATTACCTGTGTCACGTCAGCATGAATTTAACGCGAGAATATTATCGTACCATGCTTTCTTATGACTTTCGAAGTCATTAAGTCAACAAGAAAGTTATGATAGACTTCGATTGACCTTTCACAATGAAGCCTCATCTCGTGCCTCTGTTTACAACTGGTTTAATGAGTTTAAACGTGGTCCCACTAATCTCACCGATGATCTGCGTGAGGGACGGCCTTCTACGGCGACGACTGAAGATAACATCAGTGTTGTGCGGCGTATGAGATTGACAAAAGAGTGACTTATCAGCAGATTCGGATAAGCTTAGGCTTCGGTATGAGTCAAGTACACAAAATCCTCCATGAACATTTTGTAGCGGTCAGGAAGCTTTGTGCCCAGTGGATACCTCATAATTTGACAGAGGTCCAAAAACTCCGTCGTGTTGATTGGTGTAGAAATGGTTCAAAGATTTAACGGAGGTGACTCAAATGTTGTGTTCGACATACTTACGGGTGACGAAAGCTGAATTTATTGTTATGATCCTGAAACTAAGAGACAGTCTACTGTCTGAGTGTTTCCTTCCGAGGAATTGCCAACTAAAGTAAAGAGAGGTCGAAGCGTGGGAAAAAAGATGGTAGCCTCGTTCTTTCGGAAGGACAGATCATTACGCAATATTTGTTTTAGAGGACCGAAAAAACAGTTATTGCAGAGTGGTACACTAACAATTGTTTGCCACTTATCTTGGAAAAATTCCGGGAGAAACGAACTCGCAGTAGGATCCTCCTTCACCACAACAACGCCTCGTCGCAAACCGCTAAACAAACAATCGACTACTTGGCAACGTCAAACTTGGAATTACTAGGTCACTCACCCTATAGCCCCGACCTTGCGATTTTTATTTATTTCCGAAAATAAAAGAAAAACTTCGAGGAAAACGTTTTATGGACGCCGAGGAAGCAGTAGCTGCGTTTCAAAATGCCCCCTAAGGACAAGTGGGCAAAGTACCTTTCTCAGCGGTTCCATCAGATGCAGCGATGTATTGATGTAAATGAACACTATCTTGAAAATATATAACAAAACTAATAACTTGCTAGTTTGGTCAGTTTTTGATTTTCTAAGAACTTACAATGTCACCCTCGTAAACCCCAACATTTCCAAAAGGTTACTCAGAACAAGCCTCAGATTATACTGGTGTCCGCTGCCATAACAGGTCACATGTCATAACAGTTTCTTTAATAAGAAACACTACTTTAAGTGTAATGGACAGCCCTTTGTGCCATTCTACTTTATTGTTTAGGAATTACCAGCTACCGTTACCGCTCCGGTGATTGGTTATTGTAAAGGACTTATTTTTTTTTTATAGGATAAGGGTGACAAACGAGCACACAGTCCACCTACATTTATCCTCGATTACGAATCAAAATGCAGATGCGTTGTCACCCGCGAGGACTAAGATGGAATGCCTCGTTTCCAGTAAAAAGGGTCTCCGGTTCTCTACACTCACCATACGAAACACAGCAGCATTAAGCTGCTATTTTACGCTAGTATTCTGTGAGAGCGTGGTCCTTCCCCGGTTGAGCCGATCCATTCGTGTTACATCTATACCAGAAATATAGCTGCAGCATGGCTCTACCACGTATAATTTTTTTTAATTATTAACCTCAAGGAGCTTGGGGGGCAGAAATTAAATAACATTTAATTCCTGCCCACATGCAAAATACGCGCTTAAGGGTGGAGTAGCGGATACTAGCCTGGCTCAATCAATCAATGTTAATTGCCTATGATTAAAAATAATAATTTACTTCATTAAAAACCAAAGTTAAAGTTAGAAGGTACAGCCTATATACGTGACACTGTTGGGCACAGGCCTCCTCTTATTTCCGAGAGGGTTTTACGGCAAGGAAATGTCCGCTGCGCTGCCCCAATCGGTGTTAGTAAACTTCACATGACTTCCAAATATTTTATTCCATTTCTGGCCTTTACTTTTATTTATTAAAAACCGATTTTCTTTATATCAATTACCTGTCTAGATCCACTAGCCGAACCACTACGAGACCTTTCTGAACCACTTCCAGATCCAGAATTTTTCCTGGAGCTTGCTCTGGAGGAAGCTTTGGAACCAGAAGCCTTGGAAGATGCGCGTGATGATGCTCTAGAAGATCTGCGGCTGGCCCGCGAGGAGGCGCGAGAACTTGCTTTTGAGCCCTTAAACAACAATAATTATATCGTAAGTTGAAGGATCAGTAAGCTCGAGTGGAACAATTACAAAGTTTAAAACGATAATTAAAAAAAACTAACAGCGTAAAAAGTTTACTGAAAAGAAAAAAAAATTATATCCTATGTCACTTCTAAAACTAACACGATTCTAACGACACTCATCAAAGAAATAGACATACATACATACATACACTCGAAAAACATTACCCTCTTTTTGTTGCAGTCGGGTAAATACAAGTGTGCAGCCCCCTACCGACAAGTAAAGTGTAAGACGATCCCTACTGGATGGCTAGAAGCTTCTTGATGAATAAGATAACTGTACTTAGTGTCTAAAGCCGCGTCTCCACCAAAGATTTGTTACCAACTGTTGCGTTGCCAACAAATGTTGGTAACAAATGTTCCTGTAATTACCTAGTGTTGGCAACAAAATTTGAAACAATGTCGGGAACCGTGTTTCCATTTTCGGCGGCAACATCAAAGGAATACGCTTGTTGCAAACATTTGTTCCCTCGGTGGAGACGCTTGTTGGAAACATTTGTCGGCAACATCGGAAACAAATGTTGGTAAACTTTTGTTGAGTTGTAAACAGTTGGAAACATAAATGTTGTCAACATTTTTGGCGGATACGCGGCTTTAAACCGCTTTTGCATTTGTTGATAAGGTCACCCGACTGCGCAATCTCAATATCTACCTACATTATTAGCAGCCACACAGATAGCGAAACGATGACATCACGTGCGGCTGTTGGACAAAAATATAACTTTCCAAAAAATAATTATATTACAATAAGTTTAAAGCAAGGATTTCAGACGTTAAATGGCTTTCAGCACTCCCCTGCATGCATGTTTCATGTCCAGCACAAAGTAAGCGTGCGACATTCAGTGGACAAAATGTTACTTTATTTGAAATGTTTTTGCTTATTATTAGGAAATAAAATATTTAAATAAAAGTATAGCCGATGAAGAATATAATTCGATTACAAGCCTTTTATATTATTGAGAAATATTATATAGTTATTGATAAAAAAAAAACGTTAAAAAGTTAAAGTTACAGCCTATTACGTCCCACTGCTGGGCACAGGCCTCCTCTCATTTCTAAGAGGGTTTAAGAGTAAGGAAGTGTCCGCCTCGCTGCCCCAATGCGTGTTGGCGAATAAAACTATGTTTACGGATACTATCGCGTTTCATTTACTTATTTTTATTCCCGACGTTCCGGGTTTCAATACGTCGCGTAAACAAGAAATCGATATACCTATAGTCGAGAAGTAACCCCTCAGCGTGAATTACATTTATTAAATAATTTAACGACAATATTAGTGCCTAAAAGATTAAGTGGAAATTATGCATCTTTTTAAATCAAGATGTCTGTGCAATAAGCTTCATTAGATAGTAGTATTAATAAAAAAAAGTTTCTATTTATTATTCCTGTTTGTTCATTGTAATACCAAGTATAGAACACTTTCGTGGTAGAGCCACGCTGCAGCTATGTTATGGTTGTAGCACGAATGGGTCGGCTCTACAGGGGAAGGACTGCACTCTCACAGAATACCAGCGTGAAATAGCAGCTTAATGCTGCTATATTTTGTAAGGTGAGTGTACACAACCGGAGATCATTTTTACTGGAAAAGAGGCATTCGATCTTAATCCTTTGCGGTGACAATGCATCTGCATTATGATCCTTAATTAATATGGTAAGATGTCTGTGGGTCTGGGTCATGCCATCCACCTTATCATCATGTGAACTGTATGCTTGGTTGTCACCCTAATTCTATAAAATAAATAAATACTCTTCGTACCTAAATAGGTGCCTAAGAAAACTGTTAAAAAATCACCTTATCACTGCCTTTTGAACTGGCTCGAGAACCACGTCCACTGGCGGAACTGGCCCTCGATCCCTTTCCACTCTTGGAGCTTGCTCTGGACGAAGCTCTAGAAGATGCTCTAGATCCAGAGCGGGACCTGGCTGATCCTGACCTGTTAATATAATGTTTACTTTTAACTATTTAGAATGATAATTTCGCTTTACATTATGTATATATGTATGTTTAAAGCAAAAACGTATTCGTAAATTCCTAACCCACCTGGCAGATCCAGATTGTGCAGAACCAGATCTAGATCTAGATTTCCTTGAGCCGGATCCGGAACGCGATCTACTTCTAGATTTTGACTTGGATTTGGATCTAGATCTCGACTTCTCCCGGGACCCAGACCGAGACCTATTTGAGCCCTTCGATCTTTCTGAGCCTTGTGGAGATTTGGATCCTGATTTTGAACGAGAGCGGGACCTGAAAACAAAACAAGTAATAATGAAATTTTGTTGAAAAAAAATGCGAGAGTATCGTGGAACACTCGGTTGGAAAGAAGCTCCTTGCGTAGTGTATTATTATTGAGAAACGTAGGTACTCGTATTATATTATTGATACAGCGCAACAGTTTTTTAGAACGACGTGCCTTATCGCACGGTACGAATTTGACGAAAGGGGGCTAGGCGAGAAAAGTGTGAGATTTTTCCGTCACAACCCCCTATCTGTAGTGCGAGCGAGATGGAATAATATACATCTCACGCGCACTTTTTCTTATATTGCCATGAAAGAAATAAATATTATTATAAATGACGCTTCATTTTAATAGACGCTAGTAATTCATTTATTTGTATTTGTTAATATTTATATATTAGTAGTATTTGTTAATATAAATAAAAGAATTACTAGCGTCTATTAAAATGAAGCGTCATTTGAAATAAAATAATATTTCTTTGATGGCAAGATAAGAAAAAGTGCGAGGGAGATGGATATTGTTCCATCACACTTCCTTATTTCGCCGCCAAGGTCGTCTACACTATGACACAAGGGGTAGTGACGAAAAAATCTTAAACTTTTTGTCGCCTAGCTCCCATCCACAGAACCCGTACCGTCCGATAAGGGACTTCATTCCAAAAATATTGGAAAAATATTTTTCAACCTCTTCCCTATATTTTTTTATATTCCTTACTAACAGGGTTCACGTATGATCCTCCTAAACACGAGTCTATCGCATTAAGGCTTTTACATTAGGATTGGCGATAGCAGTACATAGCCAGTGCTTGACTATAGTTCCACTTGGTGGTGAGTGGTGATGAACTCTCAAACCAGGAGTGTTAAACTCGATTTTCTATAGGGTCATTTACAAAATTATAGAAATACTAGCGGCCAAGATTTAGAATAAATTTACGCAAAAAGAAATGATAAAAAGCATCTTTATTTAGGAACTAACGTCAGCCCGCGTGAGTGAAAAACAATTTAAAAAATGTTGTTAAAGCCAGTACAGTAATATATGTAAACTTGTCGTATATGTAGGCTATTAAAATCTTTACTTCTTGTAGCGCACCACGGAGCGTGTTTTTTTTTTTAAGACTACCCTAGACCTAGATGATAAATTGCACTATCTTGACAAAAGTGAACAGACCACGTGTGCATTTTTGACGCTACTCCAGTCACAGTACAATCTTTCTGGGTATACAAGATGCGAGATTACTTCTGGCGTAAACAAAATGGTTATACAGTCGTGAGATTTTGGGCATTTTCCATAATCACCAATTAGACCCCTGAACTAGAATGGGCTGATAGATTCTCTAACGTAACCACACACTAACATACACAACTAGTCTTCCATTTTTTTAACCCTTTTATTTTTCTAGTTTCAACAGATTGTATGGAAATAAGCAAAATTGTCAGGGCTGTGCCAATCATTATATGATGATTGGCACATTGGATAAAATGATCATTTGACGTGTTTATTATCTTTGATCTATCAAAATAAGTGTGTAAATAAGTAATGACGTGTAAAGCAAGGCTTACCTTTCTTTCTCTTCATTTTGCTCCTGCTTCTCCTCTTCTTCATCTTCTTCTTCTTCTTCCTCCTCCTCCTCTTCATCTTCATCCTTTAAAAAAATTGATGCTTATAAAAACCATCAGGCTAACTACAATAAAGTATATACACCCTATATAAAGGTTGTCTGGGAGAAATCTAATAAGACTCCCCATTGTAATACCTTTTAACATTTTGTATTTTATTCTTTTCTCTTATTTTGTGTTTTAGTGTGTGCCATAACGAAATATCTATCTATATGTAAGTGCCACTGAAGGCCCTTGTCTCATTTCTTTAGAACAGAGATAAGTCCACCATTTAGCAGATTTCACGTCTATATCACAGACAATAAAAATTCAACTTTCATCATATTTTCCTTCAATGCCGAGCACTTTATAAATAAGCATTAAAAAGGCTTAAAAATTTCAGTGGTGCCTGCACGGATCAATCGCTCTAAATGAGAATGAAATAAGGCGAGTGCTAATCCCCAAAGCTACCACGGCTCCAATATTTGGGACCAATGTCTATGAATCTTGTATTGAATACAATTAACAATATAAAAGTTATCATCAACGGCCTTTTTTTGCCCTTCGCTGGATATATGCCTGTCCAAGAATATGTAATATCATCATCATCATCATCATCATTACAGCCTTTCATAAGTCCACTGCTGAACATAGGCCTACCCCAAGGAATGCCACAAAGCACGGTCCTGAGCCACCTGCGTCCATCGACTTCCTGCATGTCTTAGCAGGTCGTCACTCCATCTCGTGGGGGGTCGCCCTACACTTCGCCTACCGGTACGAGGCTGCCACTCGAGAACCTTTCTTCCCCATCGGTTGTCGGTTCTTCGAGCTATATGACCGGCCCATTGCCACTTCAGTTTACTAATCCGTTGGGCTATGTCAGTTACTCTGGGTCTACTGCGGATATACTCATCTCTAAGTTTATCACGCAGAGAAACTCCGAGCCTAGTCCTCTCCATAGCTCGCTGAGCGACCTTGAGCTTCCTCATACGGGCAGCAGTGAAGGACCACGTCTCAGTTCCGTAAGTCATCACTGGCAACACGCACTGGTTGTACAATTTCGTTTTAAGGTTTTGAGGTATGTCTGACGAGAAGATGTGTCGTAGCTTCCCGAACGCTGCCCAGCCGAGTTGAATCCGTCGATTGACCTCTCGGTCGAAGTTGGACTTACCTAGTCGGACTATTTGTCCCAGGTAAACATACTCGTCAACAACTTCGAGCTTAGTGCTCCCAACAACTACCGGCATAGGTGTGACATGGACATTAAACATAATCTTTGTTTTGTCCATGTTCATCTTAAGACCTATCCGTTAGGATACACTATTGAGGTCATTGAGCATAGTGCCTAGGTCCTCCAGCGATTCTGCCATAAGGACTATATCGTCGGCAAATCGAAGGTGAGTGATGTACTCGCCATTGACGTCAATAAATGTGTAAAAAGTGTAATATAGCATGCATTAATTGCCTTCCATGCCATTTGTTCATACTCACCTCGCTAGGTAGACGGATTAGTGAGTGCAGATCCGAAGACAAAAATCTTTTGTTTCTTACAATTGGTTCAAGTATACAAAGGTGTATTACATAGAGGCAAACCATGACTATATGTGGCATGGATTATCTTAACTTATGGTACTACGTGACCAAAACAATTAGGCGCATGACGGCTAAAACGTCATTAGAACTAGGGAAGGAACACCGGAACGGTGATTGGTCACTAGGGGAAGCGCGGGGATAAAGTCGGGGTATGGGTGCCGAAACCGCATTCCTGTCATGCGCCTAATTGTTTTGGCCAAGTTGTATGTACATACATTGATGTAATTGTATGTATTAAGTGGAAAAATCATGTTACAGCATATTATGTCTGCAGCACATACAGATTGGCTCAACAGAGAAGACCCTAGCCTGTACAGAATAGCATATTGCTTAATTATTATTTCCCTTAAAATATGGGGGTTTATTTGTTTTTTGAACAAATAAAGAGATATAGTAAAAGAAACTAAACTTAGTTTAGTTTCTTTTACTCATAAAAATCGACGTCAATTCAAGAAATGCTTAAAGTTGCTCTCTCTCTCTTCACTAAATGACAATAAAAAAAGACAGGTATAGTTAATACTTTACGTAAGTGATAAATAACAAAATAAGACTGTACGTCTTTAATATAACTCAGTAATTCATTATATTTAAACACCTACCTACGAGGGTGGATTGAAAAGTACTCGGCCTAACACAGATCCATTCAATTCTAAAAATCAAATCTACACACATTATTTAGTTCAGTTCAGACTAGTTCATTGTGTGAAGTTCGAAACGTGTGCGATAATTAGTTGTGATTTTATAAATTTATTAACAAAGTAATCGGACATAATTTCCGCGAATGGAGCAAATCGAGCAGCGTGCCGTCATTAAGTACCTCCATAAGAAGGGGCTATCATCAAAAGCCATCCATGATGACATGGTCAGTACATTAGGCGATTGTGCTCTGTCATATTCTTTTTTTTTTTATATTATAGGGTGACAAACGAGCACACAGTCCACCTGATGGTAAGTGGTTGCTGTGGCCCATAGACATCTACATTTATCCTCGTTTGCGAATCAAAATGCAGATGCGTTGCCACCCGTGAGGACTAAGATGGAATGCCTCGTTTCCAGTAAAAAGGGTCTCCGGTTCTCTACACTCACCATACGAAACACAGCAGTGTTGAGCTGCTATTTGACGCTGGTATTCTGTGAGAGCGTGGTCCTTCTCCGGTCGAGCCGACCCATTCGTGCTACAAATATACTACTAATATAGCTGCAGCATGGCTCTACCACGTAAAGAACGTATTCATCCGTCAAAAAATGGATAGCAGAATTTAAGCGTGGTAGAGAGAGTGTGAAAGATGAACCCCGCTCTGGAAGGCCTTCGACGTCAACTACTGACGAAAATATTAAAAAAGTACTTGATTTAATAATGGGAGACCGCAGATTAAAAATTAGAGAGATAGCCGAGATTATAGGCATCTCTTATGAACGAACTCAAAACATCATTGTCAACGAGTTGGGTTTCCACAAGGTGTCTGCCAGGTGGGTTCCGCGACTGCTTTCAGTTGAACAAAAAAGGACGCGATTGACTATTTCACGCGACTGTTTGGAGTTATTTGAAGCCGATGCAGATGATTTTTGAATCGTTTTGTTACTATGGACGAAACATGGGTTCATTACTGTACACCGGAAACAAAACAACAATCAAAACAGTGGAGAAGACCTGGTTCACCACCCCCTAAAAAGGCTAAGTCGATTTTGTCGGCAAATAAGGTGATGGCTTCAGTATTCTGGGACTCGAAAGCTGTGATTATGATTGATTATCTTGAAAGGGGTCAGAATATAAACTCTGATTACTACTGCACCTTACTACGTCGTTTACGAGAGGAAATAAAAGAAAAACGTCGAGGAATGCTCAGAAGAAAAGTCCTGTTTCATCAAGATAACGCCTGTGTTCACACGTCAGTACAGTCAATGGCTGAAATTCACAACTGTGGCTTTGAACTGTTACCGCATCCGCCGTATTCACCTGATCTGGCACCATCAGACTTCTTTCTGTTCCCTAACCTAAAAAAGCACTTGGGAGGTCAAAGATTTTCGACAAACGACGAGGTCAAAGCAGCTGTAGACGCATATTTTGACTCTAAGGAAGAATCATTTTTTTTCAACGGTCTAAATGCTTGGAAGGGGAGGTGGCAAAAGTGTATTGAACTTGATGGTGATTATGTAGAAAAATAAAAATATAACTGATTAAGTATTTGTTTATTTTCTTGGTTAGGCCGAGTACTTTTCAATCCACCCTCGTATATATACAATAATATTTTGAACAAAAAAAAAGCTTTTACAAAAATTTAGTAAAAGCTTTTATATAATGGATTTCCGCAAAGTAACGCCTGATTCTATTAATTATAATATTTTGAACTGAAATAAAAAAAGGAGGAGGTACTCAATTCGACCATATGTTTTTTTTATTTGAAAGCTGGTGCCTTTCTTGTGGTCCCATATAAATTTGATTAAGATCTGACCAGTAGTTTTTGAATTATCCTTAATAATGTGTATTTAATTGACTTCAACTACATGGATGATGTTCTCAATTTATTTATATTGTAGTCGGTTGTACAAAATTTTTAATTTTACCACTTGTTTCCATGATTTGTTCTAATGTTTAAGAAATTTTTGGAATTCGTTGTTTGAAATTGTTTTTTTAAATTTCCTCATTTTTGTAGACAAGTACTTAAACAAATATATATATTCTAATTTCTGAGAGAGTTGTGGAGTCTATAGGGAAGTGCATTGAAGGGAAAATTAGGTCCTTGAAAATTTTAGTTTATTCACAATTCCTTCTCCTGCTCCTCCTCATAACCCGTAAATAATTTACAGCATTTTTATCCACTAAATCTCTCCATCTCAATCTCCATGCAATCCATTATTTGCCGTCATTGCCGGGCGTGGGTGTGAATTGGCGATAATAGCACCACATCTTACTTTGCATCAATCTGCACAACGCAGTTTTGGCGTTGATGCCCGTCGCCGATCAGGGTGGACATTTTACATCTAATCTAGTATACCATACTTTATGGCATTTCTTGGAGGAAGCCTATGTTCAGCAGCGTGCTTTTGACGAGCAGTAATGATAATGATGCTGGTAAATATGAGATGGGTCTATCAAATCCTAAGTTTCACAAAATGCAAATATGCTGTACCCTCCGCTGTAGGCAATATAAACTTTTTAAATATATATGTGATATGTTTACCTGTGGAGGCTCCAACTGCTTCTCCCTGAGCCTGAGCATGCGATGCTCCGCGGCGCTCAGTGGGCGATGAGTGACCACCAGCCTAGTAAGCGCCTGAGCGGCCGCACCAGCTCGAGCGCGACGTTTGGATAGACGTACACGCGTCTCCAATTCATTATAATATACACAGTGATTGCGAACCACCTGAAAAGACAAATTCATTGTTATAAGAAAAAAGAAAGTAATAAGCTTTATATAAGGGTGTACCAGAACTCATGCTATTTCAGTATCTAGCCACAAATGCTGTGGAACATCAACAATCAAATTCCAAAATTAAATGAAAATTAATTTGTTTTTAGAGCAGGTGTCGGTACCAGAGAAACGTTTAATAAAAAGCAAAAATTATCTTCAAACAATTAAAAATAATAAAGAATAGCTCTGAAGTTGGTGCTAAGACGTAATGTATTGAAATAATAAAGCTCCCAATCAGAAGCTATTATGAGAAAGGCCTGAATTTATTCAGGAACTTCTTTCGCTGCCTGGGTCCTGAAATTATCTGAATAGGAATAGAATAGAATCATTTTTATTTAATACAATCTATATTATATACTTATTAAAAGCTTACCACTGGTTCGGAAAAAAAAACCTCTGTCCTAGGAAAAATCAGCAAGAAACCTCTACAGGTTCCACTCTCTCAGCTATTTTGATAACACAGTGAACTGCTGTTCTGGTTTGAAGAATATAGAAGCAAAATTACAGACTATCTCTGTCCACAGAGGTGATGCCGCATCTGTCTTCATTGCAGGTCCATAGCATTTTAAATAAACACATTGATTAATGAAATCATTTAATATAAAAAAAAAACATACCAAAAAGTAATTTTCTTCATAGCCCTTAGAAGCCTTGCTTTTGACATTCCAGTTGTATTCCCTAGCCATTTTATATTCATAAGTGTCACCATCCATGTATGGTATGCCCTCTGTAACATCACGACGACGTTTCTGGATTGTTTCTTCAGTTGGAAGACAATATGCCACAAATTGTTCACCGCTTTCGTCCATCACACCCCTAAAATGCCATATGACAGTAAATTATACATAAATCAATACAAAAAATAATACATAGAGTTCCAGCGTATATTCCTTTGAAAGGAAAATTATTATCCATTTAGGAATTTCCCCTGTACTGTGTAGTTAACACACACGAAGTGCACATGAAAAGACACCCAGAGTCAAAAAAATTAATTATAATCCATACCAATAATGGTATGTATATACTAATAATTGTTCTGTATGGAATTTAGTAAGCTGAAGTGGCAATGGGCTGGCCATATAGCTCGAAGAACCGACAACCGATGGGGAAGAAAGGTTCTTGAGTGGCAGCCTCGTACCGGCAGGCGAAGTGTAGGGCGTCCCCCCACTAGATGGAGTGACGACCTGGTAAGATATGCAGGAAGTCGATGGATGCAGGTGGTTCAGGACCGTGACCGTGGACTTGTGAAGGGCTGTAATGATGATGATGATGATGATGGAATTTGAACCCTTGACCAAATCCTTAGCTAAATGTGCAGTAGCAGTCCTGAGTCAGCAATGCTTGTGTTATAATCAAGGTCAATAGTGTCTGGTTGCAAATCCACAAGAAACCCAGAATATATTTATCGTACTTAATTCTAAATAATCTTTAATTGCTAAAACAGACCATCTAAACTACAGTCAAGCATAGGTCTGCCTAATGAGGCTAGAAATATTATTGTAGTATTAGCAATATTATTATTGTTGTATTAACAGTAGCAGTAAAATTTTATCTTACAAACATAATACATATGGATGAAAAAAAAGTAAAGAAAATCTTACCGAATCATAGCCTGAGACATGGCTTCAATCTGCCCTGCAATATTCTTATCAGCTGGTGCAGGATCAGTATCAAATATAACTTGAGCACATGGGTACTTCCACATTTCGAAATCTGGAAATACTGGCATAATTTCAACTGGTGTTACACCAGGTTTACTATAATGCTTCTCTATAGGCTTCTTGTTATCTTCAAATGTCTTCTCGATAGCTTTAATTTGACTATCTCTATCCATGTAGAGTGTCTCCTCACTGAATATCTTTTTGACATTGTAACCTACTTTGGCTTCAACCTATTAAAATGAAAATAATTATTTACATTGTTAACGAAATAATAAATATGGTACTCATATAGCAAATATACGAGGGGAGGTTAAAAAGTTAGTGGAATGATAGGGAAGGATAATGAAATGTCTCTTAATCCTAATACATTTATTAGATTTGTCAATAACTTATTAATAACGTTCTTTTAACAAAAAATAATACCGTCTAAACAAAAGATTTGTCTTAGGCGTCAAAATAGGCCGAAATTCGAATTCCCTTCACCATTGTCAGCAAATTTTTTACCATGCAGTTCTTTCTTAATTTTTGGAAACAAATAATAGTCTCTCGGGGCCAGGTCTGCGCTGTAGGGTGGGTGGCGCAGTTGTTCAAAACCGCACCTGTGAATGGCAGCCATGTCATGCAAAAGGAGCACGCCTTTTGTAAGCTTTCCTCGCCTTTTTTCTTTAATAGCTTCTTTTAATTGATCAAGTAAAGTAGCGTAGTATTCTCCGGTTATGGAAACACCACATTCCTTATAATCAATCAAAAGGATACATTCTGTATCCCAAAAGATTGTCACTATGATCTTTCCGGCCGATTGTGACACCTTATACATATTAGGAGGGGGGGGTGCCTTTTTTATGCCACTGCATTGACTCTTGCTTTGACTCAGGTTTATAAAGGTGAACCCAAGTTTTATCGCTAGTTCCAATTCAGGCCATAACTTCCTTCCTTTTGCTCTCTACAGTGGTCCAAAAACTCACAACTTTCGAATCGCTCGTACTTTTGATTTGAGAAGGCATTCTCGGAACCCATCTTGCACAGACTTGTCATGGCAAGGTTTTGATGTAGGATGTTTAAAATGGTTGTTTCTGATACTCCAACTAATGCCGCAAGCTGTTTTTTCTTTCATCTTCTTTCGGGCATCTTCCAATACAAGTTTTTCAACTTTTTTGGTTATTTCTGACATGGTAGCCTCAATCGGCCGACCAGGGTCGTCTTCAATGGAGTCCCTCGCTTGTTTGAAAAGGGCGTGCCATTTATAAATCATGGTTTTCCCAGGAACGGAGTCCCCATAAACAGCTGACATCTGGGTATGGTTTGAGGTGTCTTTCCTTATTTGATGAGAAACTTAATGACGGTGTGATATTCAATTTTCTCCATAGTGGCTAGCTTTTTCCCGATTAACTTGTTTACTCGTTAATACTGAAAAGCTAATGACCTTTAGGCTGAAACTTGGTATATATACTAACAATGAGTCAATCAGCTAGCACCTACCTGGATGAGTAAACTCACCCTCGCCAACCCTGCCATTCCGCGAACTTTTTGACCTCTCCTCGTATTTAAAATAGTTACATATAATATTTTTAGTGGTAAAGCCACCCTACATCTATATTATGGCTGCAGCATGAATGGTTCGGCAACACCAAGAAACTGACATTCTCACAGTATACAAGCATAAAGTATAAAGAATTAGAGTTCCATTTTAGTGTATATGGAAAATCATTATTAGCAGTCATCGCAATTTTTTTTTTATAGGATAAGGGTGACAAAGGAGCACACAGTCCACCTGATGGTAAGTGGTTGCTGTGGCCCATAGACATCTACATCTATCCTCTATTACAAATCAAAATGCAGATGCGCTTTCACCCGTGAGGCCTAAGATGGAATGCCTCATTTCCAGTAAAAAGGGCCTCTGGCCACCTGCACTCACCAAGCGAAACGCAGAGATAAACCTCTACTTCACGCTGGTTTTCTGTGAGGTCGTGGTACCACCCCGGTTCGAGCCGGCCCATCCGTGCGACAGCAAAAGCTGCCGCGTGGCTCTACCACTGTTAATAAATTATTCTAACTTAGTCTTTATAACAATAGCAAACACAAGAACTGACATTTTTATACAGTAAAAAGGGGTTCAAAAGTTCACCTAAGAGATACACAATGCAACATCTTATTTATAAGCCTCGTTTTATTAAAATATTTAGTCTCATGTAACATTTTTTTTCTGTTTCCAAGTCAAAATTATTTGGTAGATGTCAATACAATTTTGCAAAAAATACAGAAAAATAAAGTTGGTACTGTATCGTCAAGATTGGGACTTTATGATTATATGTGGCATTATACAGTTGTGTTATTATAGTGTAAAAAAACATGCGTGAGTGTGGTGGAAGACTCAGTTGGAACGAAGTTCCTTATTATTGATTAACAAATACAAATAAATACATTACTAGCATAAATTAAAATGAAGCGTCATTTAAAATAAAATGACACAAGAGGTAGTGATGAATAAATCTTACACTCTTTGTCGCCTAGCTCCCATCCGCCAAACCCGTACCGTCCGATAAGAAACTTCGTACCAATAATAAAATGATGTACTCCCATTAATGAAAGTGTTATATTATTTAAAACAATTAGTCTGCCGTGTTGCTCAAGTATGTGGTATTCATAGTTCATAAGAAAATAATTCTAGTATTGTAATCAAATGGCAACAACCTACCTTTTCCATTGATTGAGGCTGGAATCGAGTCTGTTCAGTTGAAATATACTCGGAGCGACGCAACCATGACACATTTTTGGCATGATGACGAGATCTTTTAGAATCTTGGGGAGTAAGGACATCATCTTCCAGAAGCTTTTCGTCAGCAACATCTAATGTTGCATTACCATCTCCTTGGTATATATCACGATTAATTAAATCTATATGCACTCCAAGATCATGCTCAGTTAGCACCTCATATCTATAGTTCTTCTCCAACGAAGTAGGGTTATACTGAATGAATCTTGTAGATGGAAATGGGTATGTGATGAATTTTAAGTCGAAAGGTATATCCGGTAACGTATTGCAATATTTAACACGCGTCACTAATTCAGACCTAGAAAAATTTAATGTAAAAATTATAAATAAGATTAATTTTTCTCTAAAATATAAATTCAGATTTCAACTCACCTTCTTTCACCAGTCCTTTGCGGGCGCTTGTCCCGCTCTGGCTCATTCGTCTGCACAGTAGGTGGCATTTTTATTTATTACAGCAACTAAAACATATTGACTTATAGTACAATATTGTTCTACTCTTTGAACAAGTCTAAAATTTACAAGACCGCAAAATTAGAGTAAACACCACACACTTAGACAATCAAACAATCCACAAACTTTCAGTATATAAAAAGTTACTCTGTGCCACAAACTAAACAAAATTACCAAATACCAAACTAACTAAACTATACCTACTCAACCAAAAAAAAAAACTCTACACTCCAAAACGTTTTGACAGCTGTCAGACTTATTGGACTAGGTATGCCAACCAAAAAATCGGTACGGACAATGTTCGATTCTTTAGAAAAATCGATATCAATTCTTTAGAGTTGGTAATTATTTACAGTTTTGTTTCGATTAATACCAGAATAAATTAGAAACGGATAATTTAAAACACAAGAATTATTAGATTCTTCGTATTTATTATTACTGCTTATATCTAGAGGCAAAATTGTATAAATTTAAAATTTGAAATTATATTAAAAATAAATATATTCAGTCACTTTCACTACAACTAGTTGAACTGTCATTATTAAGATTAATTATTATTGGATTTTCAATAATGTATCAAAATAAATGTTCTTTCAAAGTCATCCATAATAATTTTCTTTGTTTTCTCCACCACTTTTGCCCAATTGTTCTTTGTGACATGAGTATATGCTTCATTCAGCAAACCTTCAGTTTTCTTTACAAAGCATAAGATATTTCCATTTCGTGTGTTTTTAAGTATAATTAGTAATATCTTTGCATTAAGAGCATTTCATATTAGAACTAGCCTTTGATTTGGGCCAAAATCACTTCAATAGCATTATAAAGGCAGTGGTATGGTTGTAATCTTGTGATATTCGCAGAAATATTTTGTAAAAGGGTTGTAAACCACTCTTTTCTACAGACTTCAAAAAAGAGATGGAACTCAATTCGACTGTATATTCTTTTTTCTTTTGGGACGAAGTTCCTTAACGGACGTAACGTATTTGGCAGATGGAGGCTAAGCGAGAAAAAGTGTAAGATTTTTCCGTCACGACCAAAATATCAATAATATAATACGTTTATAAATAATAAAATACTACGAAAACAACTTCGTTCCAACCGAGTGTTCCACGACACTCACACATGTTTTTTTATGACCATAACTTTTATCTGGGTGAACCGATTTCGATGATTCTTATGCTTTGTAAAGAAAACTGAAGGTTTGCTGAATGAAGCATATACTCATGTCACAAAGAACAATTGGGCAAAAGTGGTGGAGAAAACAAAGAAAATTATTATGGATGACTTTGAAAGAACATTAATTTTGATACATTATTGAAAATCCAATAATAATTAATCTAAATAATGACAGTTCAACTAGTTGTAGTGAAAGTGACTGAATATATTTATTTTTAATCTAATTTCAAATTTTAAATTTATACAATTTTGCCTCTAGATATAAGCAGTAATAATAAATACGAAGAATCTAATAAATCTTGTGTTTTAAATTATCCGTTTCTAATTTATTCTGGTATTAATCGAAACAAACCTGTAAATGATACCAACTCTAAAGAATTGATATCGATTTTTCGAAAGAATCGAACATTGTCCGTACCGATTTTTTGGTTGGCATGCCTAGTCCAATAAGTCTGACAGCTGTCAAAACGTATTTCTAAGTTTTGGTCGTAGATAGAGGATTGATTAAGATACTATGTCTATGGTTTTGGTTGAGTATTTTTTTTTAGAGTTTATGGCCTGGTATCTAAACCTTTAGGCCAATTGGTTGAGTATAGAAACAAACAATCCATAGATTGTTTAAAAATGTATAGCACAGACTCTGACTCAGTGTCTCCATTGGTTTCCATCACAGATTATAACTAGTAGATTCTACCCAAATCAGATGAACTAGACTTGGGCAAAAAATATAGATATTTCGAAATATCGATATTTTCAGAGAAAAATATGGATATATATATATATATATTCGATATATTAAATCGCGATATATCGATACATCGATATTTATTTTAGAGTATCGAATTCGTATCAATTTCGACATATTTTAAAATGTTGTATTAATGACAAAACATGTAACCACAAAAGAAGGTCCAAATTATTCATGTGTTTTTTTCGTCGTCCAACCGTCAGTACTATAAAATTTTGGACCTTATCTTTACATCATGCAAATGATGACGATATATCGATATTTATCATGCAATATATATCGATACTGTTTAAAATATTTTTTCCCTTGCTCATCCCTAAGACTAACATCTCACGAACTAAACTTACTCGACTTAGCTTCTGCATGCTGCATCCCGATAGGTTATAGCCCAAAGGCAGCCCGTACACACTCAATCTTGATTGCAGTCACACAGTTCTGATCGCGATCATGGATCACGGGATCGCAGCACAATATTTCACGTTCAATCTTGATTTCTTCAGTCCGTGTATCGTAACCGCCGCGTTAACAACGTTTGTTGTCATGTCATATTAAAAAGTACTCTGTGGTCATGAATTTACATGAGGTTAAAGCTGTAGTATTACTTGTTTTGGCCCTTACTTTGAAGAAAAGGATTCGAAAAAGGCATAACCCACTGCCTTTGTGGCAACAGTGGCCACTTAAGAGAGAAATGTACACTCGCTAAAATTTACTAAAATAAATTCAACTAACTGCTGAAACTGACGATTATAAAACTACTTCAGGAGGGGGGAAAAATGTTTCGATGAGTTACTACAAATGATAACTCCATATATTTTTATTATATTTATATTATTTGTATTATATTTATGCTGGGGAATCCATAGCTCTCTTGAAGTTTCCAAAAGTATAATGAAATCTTCTGGTTAAAAAATTGAGGTAACGAAGGTGAATTCACCCATTCGATCGGCGGCGACGGGGAGTGCGTGTCATCAACGCCCATTTTCATTGAAGTGCACAGCGAGACTGATGCGATCCTGCACTTACGTTACGTTACGTTCAATCTAGATCACGATCAGCGAATTGCAATCTTGATTTCAAAATATCTAGATATTTTGTGATCAGATGCATCAATCCATCAATCTAATTCGTACATTATCAATCTAGAACGCGATCATTGATTTTGATCACCGATCACGATCGAGATTAAGTGTGTACGGGCTGCCAACGAGTATAGTATCTGTCCTATACAGTTTTAGCCGTTGTAGCAAAATGATATATGACATTTCTTTTTCTTATTTGAAGCAGCTATATACCATTAATTATATTATATTGAAAATAAAACGTGGTAAATACAAATGAAACAATGTTGAAATTTAATTTTTGTTAATAATGACTTCTTACAATTACACGAAGACTACACATTAATTTTTTTTAGTTATTAATTTTTACTTATAATAATTTTGTTTACATATTTAATAATAAACTTATTAATATATACATTATTAAATAACTATAATAAAAAAATTAAAACAAGTAACTTAAATATCATACAGTCCTCATTTTAACTTTACACTAATTTTGTTTACAAATTTAGAATTAAAAAATAAGTATAAGATTCGCCAGTTTCACTACTTCCGTTACTCACTTCACTTTCATGTCCGTTAAACAGTTTCTTTATTTTTAATAATTGTGCACTAACATCATCTTCACAATTAAAAGACGAGCGGTAAAATCCTGTAATTAATAAAGATTTAATAGTATTTATGAAATAGTGGCAAGTCGGATTATAAGGTCTCTAAAATTGTATGATCTTATTTGACCGAAAAAGTTTTCGATTGCATCTGAATTTATATAGCGGGGTCTCATAATTTTTATGTTTTTTTGGACAAAAACTGCCACAATTTCATAAATTTTAAATTTTGTAGTTTCAACAAAGCTTGCTTCCAAAATGCCAAAATTCTTAAATCTTTCCCACTTCTTTTATTAATCACCGCACTTCCATTCACACTGTCAAATAGGTCATCCATGAAAGATACTATTTCTGCAGTATTTTTCTGTTTTGCGCACTGGCCGCCCATGCGAATAATGAGCTGTAATAAATATTTTATTAAATTAAATAGCATTAAGTACTCTGTACAGTATTTTTAAGTTACAGAAGAAGAATAGTGTTTTTTTTTTAGAATTAAACATGACAAGCAAGAACACATTTCACTTGATAGTAAGTGAATGCTGAGGTCCACAGACACCTACACTCACATCCAGAATTAAGTATCAAAATGCAAATGCAATATCACCCTTGATGACAAAAGAATGCCTTTTTACCGGGTAAAGGTCTCTGTAACCCCTAGCCATGTAAAACACTACATTTTTATGGTGCTATGTATCATCATCATCATCATTACAGCCCTTCACAAGTCCACTGCTGAACATAGGCCTCCCCCAAAGAATGCCACAAAGCACGGTCCTGAGCTACCTGCATCCATCGAAATGGTGCTATGTATAATTATATATAATTAAATAATTAATATAATAATTTACAAAATGCAGAGGTATAATTTAAGACTTCTTCCACAGTTTACTAAATACACGAACATAATTCTTAACCTGCAAATAATCCATAAGAATTTAATTATGAAAAAGTCAATATAAAAGACAATATATTTTTCGGAAATGGATTTATTTATTTTAGTTAACATGTCGTTAATCAACACAGTTTTTGCTATTACTTTTCATTGATTGAAGCGTCAGTAGCCTAATGGTAGGGCACGGACCGCGAACTCGAAAGGTCGTGAGTTTGAATCCTAATAGGTACTGTTAAAATAAAACAGATTTCAATAAGAGATCATTTATCATGGTATCTTTCTTGTTTTTCATAAAATGGGTTTATATTTACATTATAAATGCGAACATTAAAAAAATATAGATATTTTAGAAATCGATTTTTTTGTGAACCGATGCATCAGCTTACGATTTGAATCGATTTATAAAATCGACCTTTTTCGGAAAGAATCGACATCCCTATTGACGTCGACAATGACATTACAAAATGGCGCCAGTTTTACGGTAGAATTAGATATAAACATTGCA